CCATTGTCTCCGTGATTTACTTTAAGGAGGAACTGGATGGGTTCTAACTGCTTCTGCAAGTTCTGTAAGCTAATGGATTACTTTGACATTTTTATCACATCATTCATCTTCTATTTGTTTCTGAAGAGCCTATGATTTGTGACTTTCTTTATGGAAACAGATTCCTATCTAATTTCCCCACTTAGTAATATACAAAATACAAATTCTGTACTTGTACTTCCTTGACGTTTTGTAGTGGGTTCGCCGTTTACAGAAACAGCTGAAAATAAAAAGAAGGACCTTTTACTAGCATGTTATTACAGGATGAAGTCATCTATTTCTGCTCTAGTTCAGTGAAATACTTAATTTGTACTTTGAGCCTATGCTTAAAGACTTGGGTAATTTTGAATCTGGCTCACAAGTATAGGATCTCTTCTCTAAATGTCTTCAAGACGCATTTTCAAAGGATAATAGCAGACTTTATATAGTACTTTTGTCATTGATCCCAAAGTGCTTTGTAATGGAGGCCCAGAGCAGTATCTTCATTCAATGGTTGCTTTGCCTCAGTATCCTTCTACAACGTTCATATTTTATTTCTCTCCAGTATGGACTAGAATAAAAATGATGTTGTAAGAAAAAGTAGCAAAAAGAAACTAGTAAAGAAAAAAATTATTAGAGTTAAGATGTGTGATTTGTCCTTTTGAAGAAGTGGATTAAGTGGTAGGAACACAGTAGATCACTTTTCCAAAAGGAAAGTAAATTGGGACTGATGATTTGTTAGAATTTCATTCAGTATATTAGTAGAAGGTTGGTAAACAACAGAAGCTTAAAATAACAAATGGCTTCACTTGAGCAACAGCAGAGAGTGTTGGGATGAATTTGGGCTTATTTTGTATCACTACCTTTCAGTGAAGTGTCTTGAAAGACTTTTTCCTACTTACTGATTGCAAGCAAGTGCCCATTAAGAAGCCTTATCTACGGTGGTTGCGGTCATGCATGAGGCAATATGGGAATGCAGTGGCCTCTGCATTTGGAGGTGCTGGGCATGGATACAGATCTCAAATATTTAGTTTTTTTCTGGGCAGCTGAATGAAAGTTTTGATTAGAGGTCTGTAGTGAAAAAGAAAGAATGGCGATGCCAGCTTTTCAGAAAGGAATAGCAAATCATCAATTTTGATGAACAGAAGTTGACTCATATTTTCAGTGCCATCTTCAATCTGAATTATTCCACTGCAAAACCAAAATGAAAACAAAATGAAGATGCAGAGAAAGAATTAAATGTGAGACGAGTTTGAAAAGATTAGACTGTTCATGCAGATGTATAACCTGAAGGTTATAAAGAAGATTATTCTGAAGATTTAATTTGTCTTTTCTCAAAATAAAAGAAAAAACAAATGAAATACTGAATATGCTGGAGTTGGAAATCATACCGAATGTAATTTTCAAAGGCAATAATTAGCCTGTGGAAGTCTCCAAATGTTGTACAGTATGCACTGTAGAGACAATGAGTTCTGGGAATTTTTGCAACAAGCAGGTTTTTCTGTATGTAATATAACTATCTCCTGATCTGGTACTTCCATGCACTTCAGTGAATCAACAAAACGTTTACTGTAGTTAGGGAGAAGCTTCCTCAAAACCATGGTTTTTTCATGATTTTCCATCAGATTTTCCAGTTTTTCTGTAGCATCTGATACCAATCATTGCTGAGACAAGATTTCAGAGCAGCTTAAGAGCAATCTGATGCAGTCTGACATTTTCTCTTCTTGTGATGATGATGGTAATTTCTATTGTCTCTTGAAAGCTAAACAGATAGAAGTATAGAGAAAGGGGTAGGGAGAAACTCCACAGAAGATATTCAAAAGATTGGGATCATTTATATGGTAGCAAGTGGAAAGGTTATGATGAAATATATACACAGTTAATGTTAGGTGTGTGCTTCTGTTCCTAATTTGTTTCAATAGGAGAGGCAAGAATAAGTAAAAATAAAGATTTAGTATTCTGTGCAACAAAATGTGCTGAACAAGATGTGATACAAGCACATCACTGAAGCCAAGAGCTTTGTAGAAATACAGAAAACAATAGTTTGTGCACTTTTGTATAATAGGAATTTAAGTAAAGATTTTTGATTTAAAGAAGCACCATGATGCTTCAAGAAAAATTTGACCTCTTATTTGTCAGGCTTAGGAAGAAACTTCCCCGATAGGTATGTTATACTTGTTTGGTTTAGAAGGTTGTTTGACTTTGTTTAATTTTCTCAGTATCTCATAGTGTCTATTATTAGCGAGAAAATTCCCAACTAAGACAGACCAGCAGTTTGGTCAAGCTTGGGCATATCCATTTTTCTATTCTGAGCTAATATAATTTTCTGCTGGTACTGTGTGTACAATTCAAAGCTAAAATATTTTTAAAAGTAGTGGCACGTCCTCGAGCCAGGTCCTTGACCTGAATTTCATAGCATAATTCATGTTGCTTGGAGTCAGTACCTTAGGTCCAGATTGACCGGCCAGTCCTCCAGGGCAGATGACAAGACCAGTCTAAGACAATCAGCAAAACCTTAGGCCGAATACTAAGATACAGCTCCTGCTCATGACAATGAGACGAGGCTTATGTGGCAGTAGAGTACACAAGTGATCAACTCTGCATACCCTATTTTCAGTTAGAGGCGCCAGGGCAACTGACTCTTTTACTGTAATTTTCTAATACACTTTAAAGACAACTCACCTATGCTATCATTTTGGGCAGCTTTGTGGGATGTTACATAGTTCTGTAACATTAGCTGGTCATTTGTATGAACAGCCCGGGAGTTTCTGATACTGCCCTGTTCCTGTACTTTCAGGACCTCTGCAATCTTACAGCCTTGGCTGCCCCTGCTAGACTCACGTTTACACACACACGTCTTCTAAAGCTACTCACAGTTCACTCTACAGAACAATGAGATTTAAAAGTATGCATATGTGTGTCTGTGTACATATGAATATGATCGTTTCTTAGCTCCTTGCTATTAATATCTAATTATGACAATGTTATTTGTATGGGTTAGAATTTAATTCTTTTTGGCTTATAGTAAGTATTTTATGGAAGATGTTACAATACTATGTTATGCAGACGTACTGGTAATGAGTCAGGAATTGGCACACTGTCCTCTGACTCAGGATATTAGGGGGCATTGTGTACCAGAGGTACTTTCTTTTGGCTTAACTGCAGATCTGACCATCTGTGGTCATAAAAGATCCTGGGAATATTTTTGCAATAACCTAGTTTAGTGACCAAATTTGATTATGAGCAATGGCATTTGAATGAACTTTCCCAAATTATTACTATTACTTCTTTTATAAAATATGCTTTGTCATGTTGTCATGTTGTCCAGTTTATATATGTAATTTTATGCATTTTAATCTGCTATTAATCATATTGACGGCCCAAACAAAGCTATCGTTGCAGAGAGTTTGCAAAGCTGTGGAATGCTCAGATCCCTTGTGAATATTGATCGTTATAACTATGCCTGTGTGCATAAGCAGTTCAGACACTGCCTTGAGATGATCAAAGGTTATTGTCTGCAAACAACAGATGCATGACTTCTTCTGCCCCCTGTTATACCTCTTGGGCATGAAAGTCACTAATCACGCTGTTCTTCCAAATTTAAAAGCCTACAAGCAACCTAAACAAACAATGAGAAGTTCAGTGATCCACTGGGATCTTACCAATGTTATAAAGCATGCTGAATACATATTAAAATAAAGGGTCTGTTATGCCCTTAGGAAATAAATAACTGCCCTTCATTTCTGTTAGAATTCAAGATAAATTTTAAGATGTTTGACTAGTTGACCAAAATGTGATTTGATTTCAATACACTAGAGGAACTATGTTGTTAATTCCTCTATTTATTTCCTTTGAAAACTCTTGCTGAATATTTGTAATTCACATACAGCTGACTCACACTTCTTTTTCTTCTATTACAGCTTAGAACAACACAAGCATATCTACTTAATTTTGTAACTTGACTATGTGATATAGGGATTATATACAGATGAAACTTAACAGAGCATGTCTTCCCTAAAATAAGACAGAGGAAAATGGTTAATAACCATCTCAAAATTATTTTTTCTAGATCATCCTTAAAATGGTAAATAACAAACTGGAGTAGGATTTGATGCACATTTGTATCCAGGGGCTTCCATCACTGATATTTTCTCATGCTTTCAGCAATACCAGCCTCATCACCACTGTAGATCAAAACCTTCTGAATTTCTGTGATGGAGACTTGAAGTGACGTTGTGAGAAATCAGGGAGCTGTCCCATCTTACTAGCAGTTTAGATCGCTCTAAGAGGCAGGGTTTTTTTAAAGATGTGTGAGTGTAAAAGCCTAAAATAGAAAAGCTTTGCTTTCCTTTGCAAGCAACAAAAAAGAAGTAATCATTCCTTTGTATCTTCTAGCAGTGCCCAATAGCTATGAGAAAAGTATTTTGTCTGAAAAAAACACCAAAACCCACAACCCTGCTCCCCCAGCTACTAAAGTGTTGTCTGACTGCAGAGCTTTACATTGTTTATTGAAAGCCAAAGAACTGACTTTGAATCCCAGTATCTTATTCTTCAAGCTGGTAAGAGCTGGATACTTCATTGAGGCAGAGAACAGAGGGGCTATAAAAGCAGAAGCCTCATTTGTGGCTAGGTCAACAGTGGAAGGTACCCATGGCTGGGTGCATTCACACAGTAGACTGCATGTGACATGCAAAAGTCCAGGAAATTATTATGTATTCTGGCTTCCAGCAGGGGAAAGGAGAGAGGCAAGTGTAAATCCTACAAGTACCTGGCTGGAACAGCGAGCTGAAAGCACGAGGACATAAAATGACAGGCAAAAATGACTTCTAGGGTTATTTCCAACCACCAGAGAAAACGTAGGTATCCAATGAAAAAGCCACTTTCACTGACTTGGAAAATTACTGGGCAAATAGACAACAAAGTAAAAATATGACACAGTGGCAATACTAAGTTGTTGATATCAGTGTCTCATTGTTCTATAGGTTTGAAGTTTGAGGAAATGCAAGAAAAGTTTGGGGAGGAATTCTTCAATATCTGCTTTGATGAGAATGAAAGAGTTCTTCGAGCTGTAGGTGGGACCCTTCAAGACTTCTTCAATGGCTTTGATGCTTTGCTGGAGCACATTAGAACTTCATTTGGAAGACAGGCCACCCTGGAATCTCCTTCTTTCCTATGCAAAGAGCTCCCTGAAGGCAATCTCATGCTTCATTACTTTCATCCACATCAGATTGTGGGATTTGCAATGATGGGAATGATAAAGGCAGCAGCCAAGAAGATTTACCGCTTGGAAGTGGAAGTAGAACAGGTCACTAATGATAAGTTGTGTACAGAGGGGACAAACCCAGGTAACTGCAGCTGTCTGACTTTCCTTATCAAAGAACATGAAAATGCAAATATCACAAAAGCACTTCCACCGGGAACTTCCCAGTCCCCCTTAGACCTGAGGATTAGCATCAGCACCTTCTGCAGAGCTTTCCCCTTTCACCTGATGTTTGATCCAAACATGCTGATTCTCCAGCTTGGAGAAGGTCTTAGGAAGCAGCTGAGATGTGACACTCATAAAACTCTGAAATTCCAAGACTGCTTTGACATAGTTTCTCCTAAAATCAGTGCCACGTTTGAACGAGTTCTCCTGAGATTATCTACTCCCTTTGTCATTCGGACCAAACGTGAGGATTCTGGCTCTGAAAATAAAGATAAGGTAAGAACCTTAATTTGGAAGAGGATATGTGTGTATGTGTGTGATGGGACAGGATTATTCAGAGAGAAGTAGCTCAAGTCCTGTGTACTCTGGAAAGCATGAGTATGCTTTGCAAACAGGGGCTAAGTGGTATTCCCCAGCCAAGTGACTATCTTCCTAAATTATTTATAAGCTTTGCCTGTGATGTTGTAACAAATTGTGACATTGCCATTCAGAAAATGCTGCTCTGTGGAGTTGAATAGTGCAGTTTAAATCAAAAGGGTGAGGAATTTTACAAAATGCCAGATCTAATCCTTAATTTCACTCCAGATATATTATAAAAATAATAGTTATTAAGCCATTTACTAGGGAATAGCTTTCAGTAAGTTTTCTGAAAGTCTCTCACTGCAGGGTTCACACTGCCACTTTATTATATTGGACTTCCCTATTTTGAAATAGTGCTTTCCTCTGTTTCTTCTTATCTCTCACGCTGCACTCAAGGGAACCAAAGCTGTAAGTGGTACCAAGTATCACTTATGCCAGTTTTAATGCTTTCCAGTAATTTAAATAGGCACTTGTCCTCCTACACTGCCTCTTCCCTCAATGTTTTAGAAGAAAGCTACCTTAACTAGTGAGCCCTATGTTGAGTTCAGCGCATCCCAGGTGATTAAGGTGAGAACATGTCTTCTAGAGTGGTTCTCTCCAAAGGTTGGATGGAGTTTGTCTCATTGCATATCCTTGAATTATGGGAAAGCTTTTTGGTGTGAAGTTGGGTTCTAGCTTTATGCACCAAGGTTCTTGTACTTAATGCTTACATTGAAAGCCTATGTGAGGGTGCCTTGAGCATACTACTGCCCTAAGTGAATAAATTATTGATTTTCAGGGTTTTTAAGATATAGCACCCAAGAATAGTCCATCTCAATAACACTGGATGCTTAGACACCTAAATTCTGCCTATGGGTGCCACGTTTACAGTTTAGGTGGTCTGGATATAGCTTGAGAAACTCCACCTCTGTTTTGCTACCTACACTGGGCCAGAGTTTCAGAAAGACTCCCATGGTAACAGCATATCAAGTTCTGGGTTCTTTTCAAAATATAGCCACTTCTGACAGCAGCAATGTTTCCAGCTCCTCTTTGGCACTGCTTTTTGGCACCAATAAACACGTTTCTGTTGCATTTTCCCCTGGAAACAACATGTTCCCCCAAGAGAAGCAAGCTAGTGTGTCTCATTTTGTATGAATTGATGTAATTCAACCTATTTAAGACCAAATGGGAGTTTATTTTTCAGGATCTGTCCTCAAAGTCACCCTATTGTTTAATTATGAAAAGGGAATGTTGTGTGAAAAGTTTGGAGGTGTTGCTTCTGAAATACGTTTCGGCACAATTGTTTCTCCTTTGAAAGAGGCTTATGCCATACTCCTTCCTCCCTCGGAGCCTGCCCATCCCTCGCAGTCACCTTCCCCTGCTCCGGGACAGAGTCACAGCCCTTTGACCATCTTCTGCTCTTCATGAATCTGCTGTAAATCACTCTGAAGAGGAAGAGGTTTGGGGGTAGGGGGGGGAGGACTTGAAAAACTTTTTTTTCTATCTAATTATGAGTTAAACGAATGAACAAAACATTCTTTTACGTGAGCACGTTTCATACGCTTGTGGCTTGCTCACAGGAGAGGTAGCAGGGATGGAGCTTGCTGGAGACAGGTTTTAGCAGCCAGTTTGGGAAGCAACTCTGATTTCAAAAGCTTGTTTTGTACCATCAGGCTGTGCAGCTCTGAGTGCATCCTTGCATCATTGCTGTGGTTTGTACCATGTGTCACTACGGGCGGGTAATGAATTGAATCAGTGGTTGGCCCAGCTGCCACTCAGGAGAGTGAGTGACCCTCTCTGTCTTACATGTGTAGAGTCAGATCCTGAACAAGTGTCAGCACTAGCACTGTAGTAGAAATCCAGATTTTCTTGAGAAGCTGGTAGAAGGGAATAGCAGAAAGGAAAGCATTTAAGAGAAAAATTGTTTCTTGAACAGTAAGGTGTAAATGAAAAAGAAAAAGGTGATGGAGAAGTGCAAGGGCTCTGAGGTAAATGTTGTGCTGCAGGCATGAGAATTAATTTGATAAAGTCACTTTAGCTGAAGTGGTATTTTCTTCTGACTCATGTGTTTTATAAGCACTTTCCAAAAGTTTCTGGTTTTGCGTAGTTAAATGAAGCTTTGTGAGATGTTAAAAGAAGCTCAGCATGTGATGCATTTTGCTAGATATTCCCCCCCTTTTTTTTTCCAAAATGAAAGGTTCCACAGATTCAGAGGTTGTGGTTGTCTTGCTTACACAGATTTTGAGAGGAGTGGCATGGCAATACTGTTATGTCATGCTCAAGTCCTTAATGTCTCCTGGATGAAAAAAATAGACTGAACCTTGGGAACTGCATGCTGTATTATTTTCCCAGCGCTCATGTCACTCATGTAGCTCATTTTGGAATTCTTTTCAATTTGCCAGCACTTGTTTGGAAGTTGAGTATTGGGCAGGTAGATAAGTGCTGTAAGCATGACCCTGCTCAAAAGTTGGCAGTAATTGACTTAGGTATTTCCCTATTTCTCTGCCACACACCTCTGTGCAGTTCATACTGGGATTACATCTCACTTATAGCTATTTATCTTTTTTTTCTTTTTTTTTTTTTTTTAGAAAATTCTGATTCTGCAATAACCTTAACCCTTTTCAGACTAGGTTACTTTAAATGGCAGTTGAAAGGATGCGACCCAGACAACTCTGCTGTGCAGTTTTGAAGCTGTTCAGATGTCTCAGCGGTTCCTCAAGAAGAAAAAAATGTTTAAAAGGGTTTGCAATGAACAGAGGACCTTTCAGCCTCTTTTCAAAGCACTTTTATCTTAATTTCAATACATTTGCACCTCTGTCTCTCCCTGACTCTCTCACCTGTGCAGAGAGTGTGTTAACATGACTGTTTCAGAGTTTTACTTGTGAAAACTGAACTGCTGAGACATGTGTGGTATTAACATTGCTGTCTCCCATCTAAGCTTCTGCAGGATTTCCACTTTCATGCTTTTTGTTGAAGTCAGTTCCTCATCTTTGGGAGTCACTGTTGTTTTTAAGGCAGATCATCTTTTACCATGTCTCTTTGTATATGCTATTGAGGTATCAGAAAGAAATTTTTCAGTATGAGGGTTGTGAGACACTGGAACAGGTTGCCCAGAGAAATCGTGGAGGCCCCATTTCTGGAAGCATTCAAGGCCAGGCTGGATGGGGCTTTGAGCAACCTGGTCTAGTGGGAGGTGTCCCTGCCCATGGCAGGGGGGTTGGAACTAGATGATCTTTAACGTCGTTTCCAACCTAAACCATTCTATGATTCTAATTGTTTTCACAGAGGTCCCCAATGGATACCTGATTCTGCTGCCTTAATGACTGTCTTTCTTGAGCAGCCTGATAACTTCCCCCTCACCTTAATGGTGAGACCTTGCACAAATCTTTTTTAGTTGCCACCAAGTCCACATTTCAACTTTTCATTGAAATTGTTCATAGGAATTTTCCACGTTGTCTTTTTTTTTGCAGAGAACAAGACAAAATGCAGCTGACAACCCAGCAGTAAGTTGTGTATGTAGCATAAGTGCAGGTGGGCTGCCCTTCCACCATTTCTTGGCCAGACAAGGGCTGGAAGCTCCTGATAGGTACTTCCTGAGTGCAGCCATTATCTGACTATACTAATGGCCGTCTGTGATGTGATGTAAATACTTGCCTCTTTGACAGTGCAATGAGATGGCTGGAGCGACTTCACTTTTTGGCTGAATGGGAAGACAAGGACTGACTCTCCTGGTTTTTCTCTCCTGGCTAATGTCCTCCTCACATGCCATTCCTGTGCCATAAGCGCTGGGCAGATCAAGAGGAGATGGGGATGCCCTTGCGGGGGTCCACCATGTCCGTGGGTCCTCAATCCAGATCCAAACTCAGTCCTCTCAGTGCACGAATTGAGAAGCCCTGCTGGTGCCTTCTGGTGCCTTCTGAAACTGTGACTTGGCACGCAGTTGGAAAGAAAGTTGAAAGTGAATCATGAAAGAAATTATTTGGTGCCCCGCCAGATACTATGCAGCTGTATTTTCCTTGTGCTGCTGCTCTCCTGCTCAGATTAACAGCTCTTTTCCACCTTTGAAATAAATCAGTTTTTATAAGGATACTCACTGGCCTTTGACTTACTGTTAGGCCTGCAAACACTTTACAGAACTTGTCTACGAATAAAGCTGGCTGCATTACTGCAGGTGGTCAGAATTTTCCTGGTGGAATGTATTCTCTTTGGATATGCCATTTTATTAAAATCACAACTTCCCCAGGAGTTTGGCAAAATATGTTCTGGAAAATTATTTGCTTTTATTGTGTTAAAATGTTTCATTCAATGATTTTAGATACAAAATAATTTTTATTAGGAAAAAGTTTTACATTATAAATTACAATACAATATTTGAAAAATGCAAACATTGAGTTTAACAAAAATAATCCTCTGGAAATGTTATATTGCAGGAAGTTCCAAATATAACATATAATTCAGATTTTCGAGAAACACCAACTCTGTAATGATAAAATGTCCAGCGAAATGGTAGTGTCAGTTTTTTATAGCTCTACCGAATGTGCAGGCTGTCTGAGCCAGCGCCTCATCTGTTGTCAGTGAGGAGGAGAGGTTTGTGGTCGATGAGCTAGACTGCACCAGCAGGCATTTGTCCCAGTGTAATGATTTAGATAAATGCAAAATAAATAAAAATAAACCAGTCCAGAGCCAAGATTAAAAAAAAAACCCTATATCTGGAAAATTAGATTCTAAAGTGTATGGATAGATATGTAGTAATTTGCCAGAGTTTTAAAAATGCTGTGTAATAAACAACTGTTCATTTTAAAATGTAGGCTGATTCAGTGGGGGCCAGTGGGACTCTCCCCTGTTCATTTCCATTGTTTTATTTAACTGTGGACTTACTCATCTAGTCCTTCTTCCATGTTGTGAGGAAGTGCCATCTCTTAAGTCAAGTATTTCTT